AATAATAATAATATATTTAATTAATCTTTATTTATATATACTTACTTTTATAATTAACAAACTACTTATTTCTATTTAAAATTATAATTTAAATTATTTATTATTATAATTTATAATGATAATATAATTTATAAAATTATAAATATTTATTTATTACATACTTATAAATTAAAGTATAACATTTTAAATAAAGTATAAATTAATTTAATATATTTATTTATCTTAAATCAAACATATAAAATTCAAAAAATGTATTTATCCTTAATTTATTTTCTAATTATCAACCATTAATAAAATACTAACTTAAAGTCTTATTTAATTATATCATAATAGTTTCATATCAAATATTAGTTATATATATTCTTTCTCTCTATATATATATATTCTCTTTCTCTCTCTCTCTCTCTCTCTATATATATATATATATAGGGGAATGCTAATATACTCCCACTTATTTTTTAGTGAGAGTATGTTAGCAACCTACACCAAAATTTTAGGATAAAAAAACCACTCATTTCTTTTGATTTGGTTAATTTATATAAAGGATATTATAGTAATTTAATTTAATTTTAAATGAAAATAAAATATTTTCTCTCTCTTATTAACTTCATTCTTCAATTCATTTATTTTTTTATTAATTAATTTTTTAATTTTTATTTGTTAGGGGGGAGACATCATGAGGGATGAGAGAGAAATGAGTTAAAGAAGAAATTTAATAGGAGAGAGATAAATAAGTTAGAGAAAGAATTTAATAGAAAAGAGAAATGAGTTAGAGAATAAATTTAATAGGAGAGAGAAATGACTTAGAGAATGAATTTAATAAGAGAGAGAAAATATTTTATTTTTATTTAAAATTAAATTAAAGGCTTAATTGTGTTTTTATCCCTCAAGTATTGTAATTGTGCAATTTTAATCCCAAAGTTTTAATTGGGTAATTTTAGTCCCTAAGGGATTGCAATTGTGCGATTTTAGTCCTTCAATCTTTAATTGAACAATTTTAGTCCCTCAAATATCATAATTGTGCAATTTTAGTATCTTTTATTATAAATTTAATAATTTTAATATATATATATATATACAATATTTTAAAATTATTAAATTTTTAATGGGAGACACTAAAATTACACAATTATGATATTTGAGGGACTAAAATTATTCAATTAAAAA